TATATTTGTTTTCTTAAGTTTTCACGGGTACTTACATGTATGGCATTGCATGCCCCCTACAGATCTTTTTAGAAAGGGGTGAGGTCAATAGTAGACAGTCTAAGTTTAAAGTTTTTGGGGTTTGGGGAAAAAAACACAGAGTCAGGGAGAGTATTCCAGACATTGACCATTCTGTTGCTGAAGTCGTACATCCTGCAATCAAGTTTGGGGTGATTAACCTTAAGTTTGTATCTATTGTTTGCTCTTGTGTTGTTATGGTTGAAGCTGAAGTATTCATTGACATTGCAATGTATGATTTTATATACTATACTTAGATTGGACCGAAGGCAGCGTAGTTCTAGGTTTTCTAGGTCTAGAATTTTGAGTCTGGTGGCATAAGGTATTCTGCAATGAGTAGAGGAGTGGATAACTCTTCTTGTGAAATATTTCTGGACTTTCTCAACTGTGTTAATATCAGATACATAATGTGTGTTCCAGACTGATGAGCTGTATTTGAGTATTGGTCTAGCAAATGTTTTGTATGCTCTAGTTATTAGTGTAATCTTGCCAGAGAAAAAGCTACGTAAGATTAGGTTAACGGCTCTTAATGCCTTTTTGGCTATGTAGTTACAGTGGGCTCTAGCACTTAGGTCATTTGAGATGAGTATTCCAAGATCCTTGACAGAGTTTGGATCATCAACAAGGTCTTGACTATTCAGCTTGTATTTTATTTTCTGATTTTTTTGCCAATATATAGGACAGAGCATTTATTTGTTGAGATTTGAAGTTGCCATTTGTTTGACCATTCTGATACATAGTCAACCTCTTTTTGAAGGGTGACAGCATTGTCTGTGGTGTTGAATAGCTTTACATTGTCAGTGAAGAGAACACAGTTGCTCTTGATATGATCACAGAGGTCATTTATGTAGAGTATGAAAAGAATTGGTCCTAGAACACTGCCTTGGGAGACACCACTGTTGACAGGTACTGAATTTGATAGGATGCTCCCAATTTTGACCATTTGTTGTCTGTTTGACAGGAATGCTTCTATCCAATTATGCAGGTGTCTAGAGATACCATAAGATTTTAGTTTTAGGAGTAGTTTGTCATGTACCACTGAATCAAAGGCTTTACAGAAATCTATGTAGATTGCATCTATTGTTTTGCCCTGATCGAGTTGTGTAATCCATATGTTTCTGCAGTATAAGAGTTGCAGATTACAGGATAGTTTTTTTCTGAAACCAAATATTAGAGATTAGGTTGTTTGTCTCTAAGTGAAGGATAATTGATTGGTTAATAATTGATTCCATGGCTTTACAGGTGATGCAGCATAAAGAGATTGGTCTGTAATTTTCAACTAGACTGGGGTCTCCCTTTTTGAAGATGGGGATGACTGTGGCTTATGACCATAGTTTTTGGCAAGGATCTGGTCCTGAAAGATTTTTCAAAGATTATGCTTAGAGGTTCTGCTATGGCAGTGGGTAGCTTTTTTAAGAAATCGGCACCTATTCTGTCTGGTCCAATATATAGAGATGGTTTTAGATTGCGTAGTGCTTTTTCAACATTGTCTTTTGTAAAATTGATATGTATTAGTTCATTGTAGTTGTCTGTGGTTCGACTAGGAAATGATCCATTGCTATTTACAAATACTGAGCCAAAGAATGTGTTAAAGAGGTTGGCTTTAATAGTATCATCATTGCAGTCTTTACCATTAGGTCCTTTCAGGGGTGGGATGGACCTTGAATCTTTTAGTTTCTTGTTTACAAAATTGTAGAAAGCACGGGTAGAATTGGTGCATAGAAGGTTTTCTTCTTGTTTAATGTGATAATTGGTGCATTCAGTTTTTATCTGGTGGCATAATTTTTTCTATCATCTTTTGAAGTTGGCAATGTGACCAGATTTGTTTTTCTGCCAAAGTGATTTCTTTTTGGATTGAAATTCCTTATTGTTTTGGGTAATTTGTTTTTTCTGGTTTTGGGAGTTGTTATTGGTACATATAGTTTGATTACTCTTTTGAATTCAAGTAAAAAAAATGTTGTAATGGTCTTCAACAGTATTGCATCCAGTGAATAGAAATTGCCAATCAAGGGATGAGAGATCGTTGTTTATAAGATCATAGTTGCCTTTTTTGAAGTTATAATTGGGGATTCCATCATCGCGATCATTTTTGTGTGGACGTATGTTGAGACAAAAATCAATCATGTTGTGGTCACTGTTGGAAAAGGGTTCTTTAATTTGTATTCCATAAATTGAATTCAAACTATTGCAGAAGATGAGATTGAGGCAGTTAAGTCTAGTATTGTTGGTTAGTACTTGTTCTAGTCCCAGTTTTGTTACTGCATTGTAGAAGGTTGCATGCGTGGGTTCAGTTGTACATTCATTAAGGGTCCAGTTAATATGAGGTAGATTGAAGTCACCAAGAAAGATAAAAGCATGTGGACAGGATGCTGCCCATGTTAGTAGTGTATTAAGCTTGCATGTTTGATGTCATAATCAGGGGCTCTGTAACATAGTAAGAACCAAAATGTGATATTTAAGGACAGTTCACGATGGTCTCAGGAAGAGCAAGTTCCTGGGTAACTTGGATGTTTTTTAGATGTAGTGACTTTTTATTGAAGATAGCAACACCACCTCCTCTACGGATTTCACGATCTGATCAGTAAACATGATAGTCTCTTACTGTGGTAATGGAGTCAGGGAGAGATACATTGAGCCATGTTTCACAGACAAATATAATGTCAAATTTAGCCGTATTTAGTAAGAGGAGAAATTCAGGTATTTATTTACAAGGCTTCTTGTAGCTTGCATTTAAGCTCAGTTGTGGATGGAATAGAGGTAGTTAGGAGCATGCATGCCTAGTTTTGAGTGATGTTGGATTGGATGGGATGGGGTTGGATGCAGAGTTGTGGGTTGTCTGACTTTCTTTTGATGCAATCAGCTCTGTAGTCAATGTATAGGTCCTTTTCTCCATTGTCTAGATGGTGTTTGAGTTCTGCACAGAGTTCATGGGAACGGATTCTTTGCAGTATGGATAAGTCTGGTCTTGAGTGAAGTTTTTTGTGGTTGGGATTGGTTTTTGCAATGGCATTTATTGTATGAATGAATATGCGTTTGCTGGACTCATTTTTGCATACAACTCTACAAAATCTTGGGGCCACAGAGCCATCATTGTATTTGTATGCATGGCCATCTCTGGTTATTTCAATGATATCTTCAGGAGAGATGTTTGTTGTATTAGAGTTGCTTATGATATCACGAACTTTGGTGATGTCATCTGATTCATTGGTGTCTTCGAGACCAAATAAGATGGCATTTGGATGTTTCTGTTCAAGTTCCATGGTGTCTCTGATGAGTAAGGAGATATTATTTGTGGAATTATTTGAAGGGATAGTAATTATTTGTGGCTGTGGTTTGGTGGTTATTTTTGGTTGTAGTTGTGATTGTAATTGAGGTAGTGGTTGTGGTTGTTGTGGGATTTGATTTTGAGCTGATAGGTACTCACTTATCTGTGCTGTATTATTTTTTTCCAAGAGAAATTAGGCTTCCTTGTATGGTTGTTTCAAAACATGTTGCTAAGCGTTCTTCTATTGAGTGAATTCTATTGAATTCAACTTTGTCAGGTAGGGTACTCAGTTTGTTTAGCTTAGGAGAGCATGATGGACATAGATAAAAGAATGTATCTGAATTTTTAACCATATCAGCTAGGCTTTTGTTTGCATTTAAGCATAGGTGTTGCATAGGTGGCATTTGATGTAGATTTCGCTTTCATTGATGGTTTCAGGACATTTGAAACATGTGCAGGAGTCTGGGAAGTCATTGGTAGAGATTTTTTTTTTTTGGTTTGGAGTTTTTGGCTGGCATGGTCAATGGCAATAGTACAGTAATCAATTACAATAGCTAATTAATGTGATAGGTGGACAGTTACTTAATGAATGTTGGTAATTAATAAATGTTAATTGATATGTTAGAGAACAAATCAAAAGTAAGGTTGCTTATTACTAAAAAACCAATCCATAAATCAATTGGTTATTCAAATCACTCTAATCAAATAATGTTCCTAAGCAACAAACAGCCTAATTTATTATAGTAATTACTAAAAACATAGTTTTTGGCTGGCATGGTCAATGGCAATATTACAGTAATCAATTACAATAGCTAGTTAATGTGATAGGTGGACAGTTACTTAATGGATGTTGGTAATTAATAAATGTTAATTGATATGTTAGAGAACAAATCAAAAGTAAGGTTGCTTATTACTAAAAAATCAATCCATAAATCAATTGGTTATTCAAATCACTCAAATTTTCCTAAGCAACAAACAGCCTAATTTATTATAGTAATTACTAAACACACTGGTCAATTAAATTCACTAAATCACTGATTTTACTAATCAGATATTCAGTAATTACACTCTATGCATGAAACACTCAATCATACTAAGGAATAAAAACAATAAATCAATTGATCATTTCATAAAAATTAATTATTTTAAACAAATTATTTTTTTGGAGATAATGAAAGTAATGAAGTAGTATGAAGTAGTACTGAGAGTTGGTAAGTAAAGGGTTAATGCTTTGCTTTGTTTTGCTTAGCTGTTGCTGATATCTGAGAATGGGTTTATAACCCTTGATAAACTGGCAGGAGGTCTCCTTTCCTGGGCTGTTTGAAAACAATCAATGAGCAACTCTCTTTCTTGTTTTGTAGATTGAGTTTTTGAGATAGTAAAGATGCAAAGATGTTGAAGTGGGGATCTCTGGCTCTTTCTTCAGCAGAGATAAACAGAACAATTCACTGGGAGGCAACAAGAAACTTTTTGTTTTGTTTTTCCTAGATGAATGTGATTTCTGGCCCCCTCCTAGTTAATTTAAATACACTTTCAAAGTTTGTTGCTTTTAAGAGAAAGAGAAAGAAAGATAGCCTTGCACTGGCAATTTGAACAGTTTATATTTTTACTATGTAGACTCAGATTTCTATTGAGCATTTGCTCCTGGCTTCAAAATACTTCTGCTTCTATCACAGGAAATAAAGTTGCTTCCAATCTTCACAGGAGTTCAGTTATAACAATACTTCCCTACTTATTGAAAGTCCAAAGTTACTTTCCTTTTAAAGAGGAAGTCTGGATTAGCAATTGGGTGAAGAGGGAAGAGGGAAGGAGAGGCAGTGGGGGGAAGCAGTCTGTTTCACACCCTGGCTGCAAACGTCTGAAGACCAACTCACAGCTCCCGGTGCTCACCGCCCTGCAAGGATGGGATGAATCTCACCATCACACTGCCCTGCAAGGATGATCGTTGAGCCCCCCAGTACTGGCGAGCCCCACTGCCTTACCTTCTAGTAAGGATGGGTCAAGTCGCAGATCGTTGAGCACTTTTGAATAGAGTGCTCCTAAACTTAGTGCCCACCGAGGAATGAGTTCTTTACTGGCATGCTGGTCAAGGATGAGAGGAATTGGAGATCTCCGAGTACTTTTGAATTGAGAGTTTGCTGAGGAATGGAGCTGTTTTCTGGCTTGCTGGCAAGTCTTGGCTGTTAAATTCCACCAGGAATTAAATAGGAGTAAATGTAAAGGATTGACATTTTAGGAAGATATAACACCAACATGATATTTCAGTATTTTCTTTTTAATAAATTTACAGATATTTTTAAAATTCTGTTTTCACTTTCTCCTAATGGGATACTGAATGTAGATTAATGAGAAAAAAATGAATTTCAACAATTGTAGAATCAGGCTGCAGCATAACAAAATTGACAAAAGTGAAGGTGGTCGGAATACTTTCTGAATGCACTGTATATATATATTCTAAAATGGGATAATTCTGGTTTTAAAAATAATCCACTCATTCTTCACCTGATAAAATTATTCATAAGGAATAAATATAAATTATGAAAATAATTGTAATTTCAAAGGAGGGTCAATAAAACAGAAATATTAAAAAGATGAGTTTTGTGTGTTATTTACTACTACCACTATTGTTGTTGTTGTTGTTGTTGTTGTTGTTCTTGTTCTTGTTGTTCTTGTTCTTGTTCTTCTTCTTCTTCTTCTTGTTCTTGTTCTTGTTCTTGTTCTTATTATTATTATTATTATTATTATTATTATTATTATTATTATTATTATTATTATTATTTAATCTTTAGTGAGATTCACAGCCTTTGGGGCTGGTTGATAGCTCAACAGCTTGAGTCATAACCAAAGACCTAGGAACTGTTCAGGTAGCATTGGACAATAGAAGTTGTTCCAAGTAGGGTAGTTTTTGCAGAACCATGGTATTCAAGTCTGATAAATTGCTCTTGTTGTTATTATTCTTAATATTGTTATTATTATTATTTTCTCTTAATGAGTTGTTCTCTGTTGTTTAGGTCTGGCCTAAAAATGATTACATAACATTTTGGGAAATATATGCAGCCCAGCAATCCAATGCTAGAGGCCAAAATGGAGAAAACCTCCACAGCTACCATGTATTTGCCTTTGGTGCTAAGATAGGATGGAACAAAAGAGATCCACACACTGCAGAAGATTAGCATGCTAAATGTGAGACATTTGGCCTCATTGAAACTGCTGGGGAGATTCCTTGAGAAAAATGCTACAGTGAAACTGGCCATTGCCAGTAAGCCCAGGTAGCCCAGGACACAGTAGAATATAATATCTGATCCTTCATTGCATTGCAGTATCATTTCCTCAATTTCCGAATGGGTGTCAATATCAGGGAAAGGGGGAAATATGAACAACCACACTGTACAGATACCAGCTTGAACAAACGAACCAGAAAAAACAATGGAGGTGGCCAGTCCTCTTCCCACCCATTTTCTTATCCTGGATCCTGGCTTGGTGGCCATGAAAGCCAGAACTACAGTGATGGTTTTTGCCAGCACAGAAGACACAGCCACTGAGAAGATGATGCCAAAGCTAACTTGTCGGAGGAGACATATTAGATTTCCAGGTGCAGCAAGGAACTGCAGTGAACAAAGAAAGCAGAGGAGGAGGGAGATGAGTAGAATATAACTGAGATTTCGGTTATTGGCCTTGACAATGGGAGTATGGTGATACTTCAAAAATGTTGCTAGCACCACAAGTGTGCAGAAAGAAAAAAAAAGTGCCAGAACGATTAGACTTATTCCTATTGGTTCTTCATAGGACAAGAAAGATATTTTCTTGGGAAGACATGAATCTTTGTCCTTGCTTGGATATCGGTCTTCTGGACATTTAGAACAAATGTGCATGTCTGGAATATAAGTATATAATTTTTCTATGATTATTTTCTATAGTTATTTTATTATTAGTTTTATTCATTTATTTATTGTAAAATAATAACAAAAGAGAAAAATGGAAAGGTTATCATGATAGAAGTAGATACATTATCAACAAAATCCATTTTGTATTATATAATTATTTTATGTATTTATTTTATTGCTTTTAAAATAATAACAGGAACAGAAAAAAGAAACACAACAGAAAAATAATTATGATAGAAATATATGCTGTCAGTTGCAGATAATCAGGATCATTCATTAGATTCAAACAACAGAAGAGTTTATTACTGCAACCTGTACAGAAGAATCTGGTCAACTAATGGTCAGGGTAAATTGATGCTAAATAATTTTCAACAGAATTGAAGGAGAGTAAGACTTGGGTTTCTTATGACAATGCAATGAGTTCAAACTGATGACATGTTGAACTCCACCCTCCTATCTGCCTGCTCTTCTCCTACACATACATTATCAACAAATATACATGACAAATGCTTTTTAGAAAGTGACACTGGTATTATTATGCACCTTGGTATCCAAACTTCTATTGTCCAATTCACTTTCTACTGTTGCATTTATGACTTAATAAGGAAAAGTTAGAATGTGATTTTCTTTCTTTTAACAGACTTTTTTTCATGGTTTTTATTTTGCTCCTTACATTTTATCTAAGTATTTATTTCTTTTGTCATGATTTATATGGGCAGAATTCAGTATGATTTTCTAGATAGTTTTATTGAAAATAATATCACAAAATCATACAGTGGACTATTTTGCTATCAGCTCATTCTTTCAATTTTATGAATTTTCTCTTCAATCATGCTTTGATTAGAAGTGAGCTCAATTAATGTAGTTACCAAGGAGCGTCTGTGACATTCCATCACTGTGTTTTGAAGATGTGATGCTGTTCTGGGGATAATTTCTTTTATTTTTCTTATATGTACCCATTTCATGTATTCATAAATATGTATATACTTATACCTATAATCATGTAAGCAATTGACAAATCAAAATAAATAAAATAAATAAAATTAAATTAAAATTTTAAAAAATTGCTTTTTTTTTTACTTAACATTACTTTGAGCCACAAAATATTCTTGTATAAGACAGTTGACATAATTTTATAAATTAATACAATAGAATAAAATAAAGATGTGCTAGGGTAAAAATAAATAAATGTGCATAGTCACAAGTACAACAGGTCTTATACTGGTAATGGATAATTTGATACACAGTTAAGGAAAGGAAAGAGAGAGAAACTGAAAGCATTAGGATTATTTTGATCAAATCATGTAAATACTTGAATTATATAAAACCAGATCAAGACCATTTTTAAGATATAGAAACATTTATACTAAAATCTAAACGGAACAAGTAAATGTTTTTTACTATGATATGTACAGTACTCTACTACATAGGCTACAGTATATTCTGATGTGGTTTTACCACCTTAAAATAAGCTCTGCTTATAATGTTTCTTACCCTTCTGGCTTGAAATTTTTTCTTCAGGACATGGAAAACAATCATAGCAGCAAAATGGCTTCCCCTTCTGTTGTTTCTTGAAATAACCAGGAAGGCAGCTCTCAGTGCAAACTGAAACAGGTAAGGTCTACCCAGTAAGTAAAGTAAGAAGGAAAATGTTAGCATTCAATCTGGTATTTGAAAAAAGAGTTTAAATATCTTGATTAATTGATACTTCTCAAATTAAGGTGATAATTATCAGAAAACTACTATCATGTCACTCCTAGTTCTTCTTTTCACTAGATTAGATGTATTCAATTCTAGCAACCATTCTTCATATGTTTTAGCCACCTGCCCCCTAATTACCCTTGTGGCTATTTTCTGTACTCTTCTGAACTGAGAAATATATTAGGCTTAAATGATGATGAAGTTAATTCAGTGGGATTCATAATAATGTAAGTATTTTTTTCTTGTCACCTATATTGTATAGGTTTATTTTTTAAAAAAATAATGCTAGTATACAATGAAAGCCTTTACAAGAGGGTGTCATACATATGACAATGATAGAGATAAAGGAGGGAATTATATTTAAAAAATGCAAACTTTGAATGAAAATTCAATTGCAAACTGTCTCATGAGCCCAAGTTCAGGTATGAAACATCACAATCAATTACTTTTGGAACAATGTCTGCAAAAGAATTTATTACATTTATTACAGTTTCTTCTTATACTGCCCTGGGATTTCATGCAATCCCTGAAATCTGGATGGGCACATGCTCATTCGGATCATGATTGTTCTTTCCTGCCAGATTAAAATTTTAATTCTTACAGAGTAGGAATATAAAGGTAGGGATACAGGGCAGGGATATAAGCATGACTATATGTCAAGGTACACAAAATGCTGTTTCCCATTGAAGTGGTACCTATTTGTCTACTTGCTTTGCATGCTTTTTAACTGCCAGGTGGTCAGGAGCCAACATGTCAATATTATAAGGGTCTTCATCAAGTATGCTTGACATTGAATCTGGATCAACTCATTTACCAATCTGTGATCTCCTTTTTAAATTCTTAGTATATTTTGTTCCAAATAAATAATCAAGAGTGTTTTCTTTTAGATGTTTTAATGCTTTATTTCTAAAATACCCCTCTCTGAATGTTATTTCAAATAGCCAGTGTTATAAATACTGTAAAAGCCAAGACCTTATTTGTTGAAATAATTTATATAAAATTATTTCTATGTTAAATGACATTGTTTCTATGTTAAATGATATACAGTTATTTTTTTGGTTATCATCCCAGTCATGCAAGCAAAAAAAAATAAATAAAAAATTAGAACCTACTTGGTTGAAAGAGTTGTGCCAGGTGATGGTTTCATCATGAATAGTTATTTTTTTCTCTTGAACCCAGGGATCCATCTTCCCCACTTTCACTCTATTGAAGGATTGATTTGGGAATGTGATCCAGTTTATAATATCAAATCCAACTATCAATTCCCTCCTCTCATCGAATTGAATTCTATCCCCAGCACTGTTATTAAAAGAGATCTCTTTCAGAAACTGGTGGAGCTGAATATCAGTGAATATACAAACAGTAAGAAAATAGAATCAGGAATTATGCTATTTTTGCAATCAGTTGCATAATTCATTCACAACAGCTACAACTTTTGCAGATGTTTTATTTGTCCTCAGCATTTGATGCATTCCTTCAATCCCATTATTTAATTTCAGTACACACTGACAAACTAATTTTCCTACAGAAGCAACCACCATCTTTACGTCCCAATGTAATTTAAAAGAATTCAATGTAATTTTAAATGATTCAAAAATTTTTCATGCTAAAAAATGCTATCTAAAAACAATATAAACTATAAAACTGTTAAGCCAACTGCGTTGAGTGGCTAAAAGAAAAAAAGTATAATTTCCTGTCATATGGCAAAACCATATTTCTTATCTAGCAAATATTACTATCAGTAGTCAAAATTATTTAAAAACTGAACAAAAAGCAATCAGTCTGAAATCAGAGTATGTAGGATTATCCTTGGTTTTTAAAATATATGAGTCTCTTAAGAGTCAATTTTGTTCTTATTTTTGCCAAGTGGACAATGACAACTGGAACTTTTACAACAACTGGAACTTCAAAGAATTGATGCAGTAGGGGGAAACCAGCATCAAAGAACCCATGGAAGAAGAGGGAGGCCAAGATGAAGGGGTGGGTGATATAGAACATGGTCAGGTTGAGCCCAAGTGAGGGGTCAAATGTGCCATCAGTCTCAAGTCCCTTCATACCCACAAGAGATCTATATCCAGTCCACCTTGAATTCCATTGCCTCTTATCTATCACATATTTGCTTTCACCATTGGTAGTTCAGATTCTTGTAGAGAGCTGTACCATACATTAAATCTATATTCTTTTGAACTTTCCAGATTCCTCATTTCCTGCACTTGGCATTTAAATTGTAAAATGCAAACAGAATAGGAATCTGAAAAATGGTGTAACAAAGGCCACAAAATATGTGGTTGACTGGTGAAATGGCATGAACAACTGTATACAAGTCATGTATAAATGGTGAACAAATAGAGCAGATAGTTGAATTTAGTAAAAAAAAAATACAAAAATAAAAATTTGACAAAAAAAACCCTTAAAGATAAAATGCTATTAGGAAAGCAGAGGGTAATATGGAGTCATAATATTTATTGAAAGAAACAAAGTATCTGTGTGTAAGAGCATCCTTGGTACTTAAATAGAACAGGGAGTTGAATGTGTTTGCTGAAACACATGAAAGAGTCAAGAAAGAAGGATCCAAATGAACATGGATTAAATAGAAGTAAAGAGATGAAAATAGAGATAAGTTGAACCATTGAGAACAAAGGAAAACTGAATTAGAGAAAAAGTTTATTAAGGAATGAATGGAAAAAGAGAAAGGGGAATTCATGAACAGAGGAATGTATGGGTGTAAGCTAAGATGGTTTTAAGGACAGAAAGTTTATAGAATAATACTGTGGAGGTAAACTAAATTTACCACTATCTCCCATTTCTATTATAGCTCATCCCTTCATTATTTTGGTTTACTCTGATTTGTTTGAAAAAATAGTAGATTGTATATGCATGCTGGTTTTATATATATGAAATGTTTAGTACCTGCCATGGCTGTTGTTCCTGAACACTCAGTTTCCCACCATTAAGCATTCTATTGTGTGTGTTTTCAATCTGCATGTCATGTAAAGCATGAGCTATAGCATAAACTGCATTGTATATATTATAACTGTGTCCAGTCATGCTCATTTCATAAAAAGCACCTGGAACATTCTCCAATTTCTCTGTCAGTGTGCAAATGCCATTATCTTTGTCATTCACCAAAGGACTGGGAAAGGAACAGTCAAATGCGTGTACCCATACATCTTTGATAAAGCCATCTTCTTTTGATGAGAAATGGTCCCTTGCCTGAACAAAGTGCTGAAAGTCTGGAATTTCATTGGAGTGAAGTGAAAAGGACAGGGAACCATGGATATCTTGAATATCCCAGCTCCTTTGGTAAAACACTGATGCAAGATCCATTTGGGAGGGTATGATCCACACTTTACCTTTTGGCTCCATAGACAAATCTTCCATTTTAGGAAGATGTAATAACAACCTTAGAAGCATAAGTGTTTTTTCATAGACTATTACTGCATTGGCTTTACTGTTCATAGAAACATAAAATGTTTTTACTAGCCAGGCCAGTTCCTTGAATAATGTACTGATATAAAATGGTTTCATTCTTTTAAAAAAGGCAATACAAATGCCATGAAGAGGAAAAGTTGAAAAGGCCATCCTAACAAATCTTCCATCATCATCTTCTCTCACAAGGATCCCAACCCAAGTCCACTTGAAATGAGCAAACAGCTGAAGAAGTCCTTGGTATATCATATTTTCATCTGGGACCATTTGGTAGAAGGAATATGACTCACTTTGATCCAGCATCTCTGGGTGTGACCCATATATAAACTACAGGAATTAGGAAATCATTAGGAACTTAGAGAAGGGGACGAAATGAAAAAAATAAAATAAAATAGCAGCCATATCAAAGCTGTTTTATTTTGGGAGGTAATCCATAGCTATCTAGCAAATTTCAGTTTCTGTCAAAACTTATTTTAGTAGCCTTTTTAAAACAAAAATATTGTTTTCTATACTTATATAACATATGTGTTATTGATGATACTATGTTTTAGAGACATGCTTGAATTTCAAGTTGGTACATAATGTACATTACATTTCTTTATGCAGTTTATTCATTAATGCAAACTAAGCACATGTAAAACACACAATACTATGTTTCCAAACTGCACAGATGTAAAAAGTTCGTTAAAATTATGATGCCTTCATAAGATGTCACAGCTCACAACAGAACTTACTTGTGGAAGTTTGTAGATCCTCAAGATATCTGCCATATCAATGGAGATTTCAGAATAAAGAGCCCCAATGACTGAGACCAAGTTGTTCTTAATTCCACACTTATAATTGGGGACCATTCTCTTCAGAGATGAAAAAAGTTCTATTGTAGCATGATAAATCCACTTTCTACCATAATTATCAAAAATATTGATGCCCAAAGTTATATTGGGCAAGATCTGATGGTTTTCATTGATCTTTTTCACAGCAAATATTAAAGCCAAAATATGCTGATAAAACTTAGTTTGGACTCTGGAATAACAATTATAGGTTATAAAAGTAACTTCTTACACTTAATGAAAACATTGCAACACATATATGCTTCATCCAAATGTTTTGTTTTTGAAATCTATAATCCATGTGTCATGTATTATGTCCAAGGTTTGGCCTAATATGCTTTAACTTTGTATACTTTCTGAACAGAAAATATAGCTTCTGACAATACTTTTTTTTTTTTTCATAATCTGACTTACTTTTCAAACAGTGACCAGAGTATGATTGACTTTTGTCTCAATTTATGCCCTCACAAAGAAGATCATAATGATGGATCTCCAAAATACAATTTCAAAAAAGCCAACTATGATCTCATAGATGCCGACCTAACATCTCTTGATTGGCACATTCTGTTCTCTAACTGTAATACTACAGAAGACCATTATAATGCATTCTTACTTGAACTTGAAAGAGTCATAAAACTATATGTACCATTAATAACCCTAAATACAAAAAAAAAAATTACCCATAACAATAAGAAAACTACAATAAAAAAAAATCACTATGGCATAAAAACAAAACCAGCTATGTAGCAAACTTAAAAAACAGATACAACACCTTATGCTGACAGATAATGGCAGAATGCACAAATTATTACTGCAAACAGGAGGAAAACTTCCTACCTACAAAATCTACCCGTGCCTTCTACAATTTTGTAAACACAAAACTTAAAGACTCAAGAACCATCCCCCCTCTAGAGGGACCAAATGGGAAAGACTGCAGCGATGAAGCTGTTAAGGCCAACCTCTTCAACACATTTTTCAGCTCAGTCTTTGTTAACAGCAATGGCTTATGCCCTACATTTCCCAGTCGTACCACAACTAACTGCAATGATCTACTACATATTGACTTTACAAAAGAAAATGTAGAAAAGGCTTTACATAATCTAAAACCATCCCTATCTATTGGCCCCGATGGATTATGTGCATACTTCTTAAAAAAGCTCTCCTCTGCCATAGCAGAATCCCTAAACATTATATATGGTATATGATTCAGAACCAGTTCCTTACCGAACCTATGGTCCTTAGCTACGGTCACCCCATCTTCAAAAAAGGTGACCCCAGCCTGGTTGAAAACTACAGACCAATCTCACTATATTGTGACACATGCAAAGTCATAGAATCAATCATTAACCAATTCATCACCCTCCACTTAGAGTTAAACAACCTACTTTCCAAAAAACAATTTGGTTTCAGGAAAAAATTGTTCTGCAACCTACAACTCCTACACTACAAAAACATATGGACTACTCGACCAGGGTAAAGCAATAGATACAATTTACATAGACTTCTGCAATGCCTTTGATTCAGTGGTACATGACAAACTACTGTTAAAACTAAACTCTTATGGCATTTCCGGATCCCTTCATAAGTAGATTACTGCATTCCTGTCAAACAGGCAACAAATAGTAAAAATAGGGAGTCCTTTATCAAACCCTGCTCCAGTTAAGAGCTGTGTCCCCTAAGGCAGTGTTCTAGGATCCACACTCTTTATACTCTATATAAATGACCTTTGCAATCTTCTTATAAGCAACTGCGTCCTCTTTGCGGATGATGTAAAACTATTCAACACCACCGACAATGCTACTGCTCTTCAAAGTGACCTTGATTATGTGTCTGAATGGTCAAACAATTGGCAACTCCAAATCTCGACCAACAAATTCTCTGTCCTACACATTGGTAAAAAATATCAGCACACCAAATACAAACTAGGCAGTTATGACCTCATTGATGACTCTCATTCTGTCAAGGACCCAGAAGTACTCATATCTAATGACCTAAGTACCAGAGCTCACTGTAACAGCATTGCCAAAAAGGCATTGAGTTGTAAATTTAACCTTACAAAGCTTTCCTCTGGAAATATTGAATTGCTAACTAGGGAATACAAACCTTTGCTAGACCAATACTCGAATACAGCTCACCTTCCTGGAATCTGCACTGTATATCAGACATTAATACAATTGAGTGAGTCCAGAAGTATTTCATGAGAAGAATACTACACTCCTCTGCTCACAACAGAACACCCTATATATCCAGACTTGAAATTTTGGGCTTGGACAATCTTGAACTATGCCACCTATGGTTGTACTTAAGCGTAGTACACAAAATTATCTGCTACAATGTCCTACCTGTCAATGACTACTTCAGCTTCAACCACAACAATACAAGAGCACACAATAGATACAAACTCAATGTTAACCGCTCCAAACTTGATTGTAGAAAGTATGACTTCAGCAACAGAGTGGTCAATGCCTGGAATGCACTACCTGACTCTGTAGTTACATCTTCAAACCCCCACTCCTTTAACCTCAAACTATCCACTATTGACCTCACCCCATTCCTAAGAAGTCTTTAAGGGGCATGCATAAGTGCACCATCATGCCTTCCATCCCTGTCCTATTGTCCCCATTTAATTGTACCTGTTTTCTGTATTCTTACTCATGTTTATACTTATACCTATTATTTTGTAAGCGATTGACAAATCAAATAAATAAATAAATTATTTGATTGCTTATTATACCCTATGACTATTATCAAGTGTTGTACATTATGATTCTTGACTCTCAAAGAATGTATCTTTTCTTTTATGTACACTGAAAGCATATGCACCAAGGCAAATTTCTTGTATGTCCAATCACACTTGGCCAATAAAGAATTCTATTCTATTCTATTCTATTCTATTCTATTCTATTCTATTCTATTCTATTCTATTCTATTCTATTCTATTCTATTCTACCCTATTGTACTCTACTCTATTCTATTCTTACCTGTCCTATTGTCCCCATTTAATCGTGCCTATTTTCTGTATTCTTACTCATGTTTATACTTACTTATAAGTACTTATACCTACTATTTTGTAAGCGATTGACAAATAAAAATAAATAAAAATAAAAATAAAAAATATGGATTTCTGACTTTATTGATAAAAAAGAATATATATTCTATGAACAAATCAGTGCATCTAAAAAGGAACTCATAATTACAACAGTAAAAAGGCACCTAAAAATATTCTACATATTCTAGAGATATTTCTGTAGAAATACGGATTCTTTGAAGATCCTTTTATTTTATTTTTTTCCTGCTAAAAATGTTGGTTCACTGAACAACAGGATTTCTGTGACATATTGTCATGATCCTCTAATACTCAGTTAGTAAATTGAAGTAGTTCTTTCTAATTCCTTTAAGTATCCCATAGAAATTAAATAGGATGAAATATTTGAACTAGACAAATAATATGCTTTTGTCATTCTAATTAGTTTTAGTCTGCTTCAGATTTCACAAATACAGATATAATCTGAAATCTCTTGCCCCACATGGTGAGGTGATACACTTACATGACTTCACCATTAAATGAAAGATGGGGATCTTCCAAGAAGCTTTCTAGTTCTGTAGGCATGAACATAAGAGAAGTAATGCCACCAATGATGAAATCACCAGGTTGGAAATAGTTGTGAGAAATAGGGAGAGGATCACCAATAATGCATTTTTCCATGTCACATTTCCAAATCATATGAGATAAAAGTAAGAGAAAAATGATCATAATCATTATGCCTGATGTATATCTACAGCAGAATTTGTCTACTAATTATTAAGAATATCCAAAAATATATTATTTTTTTGGAGCCTGACTACCCCACTATCACACTATTCACAAATATTCTGAAACCTTGAATTCACCTTATTTGGAATAAACCTGACAGGATTTCATCTGTTTTTACTCTCAAGCTATAGATGAGGAGGTCCAGCTAATACTTATATTTTTCAAAGCATCTCAGTCCTTGTTGGTTATAAGTTTGCCAAAGCAATGTTAGCAACAGAAAAATTAATAACAGTAGTTTGGATAATTACAGATGCCCGGAAGAACTGTCATTACATTTCAATTTCTCTGTGATACTTGAAGCTTTTTCTCCCCTGTACATCACATATCAGGGGACTAGAACAACAAAGGACATTAGTAGTAAATGAGCCAATGAGTTAGAAATCAATAGAATGCAGAAAAAAAACATTTCAAGGAAAGGGGTGTTAGGAAAGTTTTATTTTCATCTGCAAAGTCATGAACTTTCAGAGTAACGTGCCCGCTCCCGTGTACTCCGCACTGAACTCAAAAAATGTCTAGACAATGGAGAGAAGGACCTGTACATTGACTACCATGCTGACTGTATCAAAAGTAAGCCACACAACCCGCAACTCAGCTTTAACCCTCAACCACAACCCTACCTCAACCGATCCACCATCACCCAAGACTAGGCATGCACGCCCCTAACTACCTCAATTCCAACTACTACTGGCCTTAAATGCAAACTACTCAATGCAAGAAGCCTCGTGAATAAAATACCTGAATTTTTCCTCCTACTAAATATGGCTAAATTCGACATTATATTTGTCTGTGAAACATGGCTCAGTGCATCTCTCCCTGACTCCATTACCACAGTAAGGGACTATCATGTTTACCGATCAGATCGTGAAATTCGTAGAGGAGGTGGTGTTGCTATCTTCTATAAAAAGTCCTTACATCTAAAAAATATCCAAGTTACCCAGGAGCTTGCTCTTCC